GGTGCATGCCTGTAATCCTAGCACTTAGGCTGTGGCAGGAGAAGCTGGAATTGAAGATCTGCCTGAGATACATGAGGCACACCATCTCTAAGACTATGAGATACCAAAATATCCACACAAATAGAAGAACCAGTTGGATGTCACCAAGTGTTGGCAAGCATGTGGAATACATTGAGTTCTTGCCTGGAAATTTAGACTGGAACAATCGTTTTTAAATCGTGCTTGGCAGTATCTACTGATGCAAGTAGATATAAATTATATGAGTCAGAAATGCCACTTAAGAAGCAAATCTATCAGGGCGGTGGTAGTGCATGCCTTTAAACCGCATTCGGAAGGCAGAGGTAGGTGGATGCCTGTGAATTCGAGGCCAGCCTGGTCTACAAGAGCTAGCTCCAGGACAGCAAGGGCTGTGACACAGAGAAACTCTGTCTCAAAAAATAAAATAAAATATAAAGAAGCAAATCTAAACCATAGATGGGTGTTGGAAGTCTCTTTAGCTGGACACTAGGGGAGAATGCCAGCAACAAACTCTTTATATCACTCTTGAACACGGTATGCTACTGTACTTCATAAGAGAGCTACAACACAACAGCCTTGTCCTTTATCACCCCTGTTGTCATCCATGATCTCATGGAACCTGTCTATAGAGTTAATAGCTCTGCTTGTAGAAATTTCCAGGGTGCCAAATGGGAGCAATGTTGGCTTGTGAGGGTTGAAATTAGGAAGGAACTGTATGGCTCGGGGTTGACCAGATGTGTGACTGGGAATTTTGCCATACATCACTGGAAATTGTGGTTTAGAATGAATGGTAGAAGCTCAATATTGTGGTTCAGGTCTGTAATTACATCACTCAGGAGGCAGAGACAGGCACATCTCTGTGAGTTCAAAGCCAGCTTGGTCTACACAGTGAGTTCCAAGACACCCAGGGCTGAATAGTGAAACCTTGTCTCCAAAAAAACAACAATGGTGAAAAAAGCTAGAGCGGCGGCTTGGCGGTTAAAAGCACTTGCTGTTCTTTCAGTTTGCTTCCCAGTACCAAAACTGGGTAGCTGGCAATTGCCTGTCACTCTAAATCCAAGGACACTGACACCCTCTTCTCTCCTCCATGAGCATCTATAAAGGCATACACAAAATTAAAAATAAAATTAAATCTTAGAAAGGAAGACTGAAAAATAGGTGTGTAGGTGCTGTGATTGTTAAAATGCCTGGATAAGAATGGTGAACTCTAAAGACTCAGTTTACACATACAAATCTTCTCAGAAAAGTCGAGAATGTTATCCGTGGATCCAAAGATTTGGGATTACACCCGAGGCCTGGAATCATGGGAATCTCCTGAGCAGCACACCAGTATCTAATTCATAAGACATGGAACAATTTAAATTTGCTAAGAAAGACCTTCCAACCTTCTGGGATAGTTGGGTCTCCCCACCATGAAAGGTGTTCAGTTCTTACTGTGGTAATCCACACCTCTACCTGAGTCCAAGTCCTGGAGGTGGGACTCTGCCTTGCTCTTCACACCAGCCTCCAATAAAAAGGCATTAAAATGTAAAAATGGCATCAGGTTTCAGCGGTACCTATGATGCACATGATGTTCTACACACTGAAGGTATCTTCACCCAGCTCACCCTTCTGTGACCTCTCATTCCCTGAAAGCAAAACTTCTTCACCCTTCAGGTCACCCAAAGAAAACCATACTCACTAGGAAAGAGGAGGCCAAGAGGCAGGCAATTAGCAAAGTTGTCCCATGTTAAGGACCACAGAAACTTCCCATTGTCGGGGGGGGGGGGGTTGCTGCCTTCAAATGTGACTTTCAGGGAATACTATCAGAGAGACCCGAGGAGATCTCCTAGTGGATTTCTAGGTGAGCTAGCCCTGTAAAGGAAGGAAGACACACTTTGCCATCTCTTGCAAAAGAACTAATAGACTGGCCATAGTCACACACTTTGCTGATTCAGGAGCAGCAGAGCTTCACTGTTGTGTTGGAGTGACAGGCCTTGGATAATAGAAAAAGCACAGTCATTTCAACAATGCATTGATTGATCCCAAGAAATCCTTATTTTCCATTCCAAATATTCCCTTACATGGGAAGGTGTGTTTCCCTAGTCTCACTATACATTCATCTCTTCACCACGACAATAACAACTTAGGTTACTCCACATTATCTGTTGTGTTTATAGTTGTCAGATTGAACTCAACTCCATACAATTTCAGTTCTACAAAACAATTATTTTCATTGGTTGTAGCATGTCATGTTATTTTACTTATCTGAAATTTGGATTCTATGGGATATGAAGTATTTAATGTTACATCTAGTCAATCTAGGGACTCTCAAGAAAAGAGACTAAGAGAAATGTTCCAATGGCAGATCGATGGAAAACTGATAGCTGAGATTAACAACATAGACAAAACATTGACGTCCGTCATGGTAACATTCGATGTTGTATGTTAACTGATAGAATAAAGTAATGCACTGCTTCTAAGGATGCCTGGGAAGATTTTTCAGGAAAAGATTAGGATTTGACTCAGTAGACAATTGAATAAAGGATATCTGCCTTCCACAGTGTGCGCAGAAGCATCTAGACAATTGATAGGCCCAGACACAAGAACTGTGCCTTGCTGCAATGAGCTTATGGAATGATGCTGACTGTACATGGAAAATGAAGGGTAGCTGAGTACCTAGGGAGAGGACAAACAGCTTTCTTAAAGAGAGGCTTGTCCTAGACTCAACTAATTCCAAGATAAGAAAACTGGCTCAGGACCCCATTTCACAGCACACCCCAATCCAGAGCCCCCGCACATACAAACTCAGTGTCTCTATTACACTCCCACACTGCCTACAGGGATTTTCCACTGTAAACACAGTGAGGCCTGCTACCAATAGCTCAGGGAAGTCCATGAATTCCAGAGCTTTCTAACATTCTTCAGAGGGCTGGACTTCAAACCCGCCTGTCACCTGGTGTGGAAGGAATATTGAAGGTTTCTGCCACGTTTCCCCCGTTTTTTCTTAATCTCATCTGCTGCTTCCTCTTGTGGAGGTTGTGTGGCAAGAGAGGCTGCTCATCTCAGCCACTGGGAGGACCAGACTCTTCCCACTGCAGCGGCCACCTGGACACTTACCTCACCCTGCAAGAGCAGGGATGGAAGGAACATTGTGAAACACCACCTCAGGGTCAGGGTTCCCAAAGGAAAGACTCTAGGGAAACTGGGAACATGGTCACCTCTGCCCTGGGCAGTGTGGACAGTGGGAGAAGAGGGACTGCTTCCTTAAGCAGTAGAAAAATTCATAGGTTTAACAAGAATTTATTGTATATATTTATTGTGCTGGTACGTAGTGTGATCAAGATCAGAGGACAATTTACAGGAGTTGGTTCTTTTCTTCCACCAAGTAGGTTCCAGGCCTCAAACTCATTGGGCTGGGCTGCAAGCATCTTTGCCTGGTGAGCCATCAGATGGGCCAAGAATTCCACAGTCTTGGAACTTCTGTGTGCATGTCCCAACCCTGCCATAAAAGAATGCATGTATGTTTCCAAGTGGCCAAACTATGCAAGTCACAAAATTTTAGTAGATGTTGTCGATATTCTTCTAGTGTTAGAAAGTAGAATTGCTTTTTATTTTCTCTAATTTCCATATGTATTCCATAGTTAACAATGATGAAAAAACATATGTCTTAGGGTAATTCTGGACTTCATACTCTAGAATTGAAAGCTTAATGACTGAGTTGTCTTTATGCTACACCCACTTAAATGGGAAATGTGACAGAGGAAAACCCCATACATTGCTGGAGGAGAAATTCCATGTACTCCCTATGTAGAAAAACTAGGCAGTGTTGACCAAAAGTCAGATGTGAAGCTTCCACAGCTACCGCAGTCTCAGGTACTAAGGAGAGAGTCGGAGGTATGATGTACACAGGAGAAAACATGCACAAGAATGGTCACACAGCATAGCCACACATGTCCAAGTGGTCCCACATGACCTGACCCCAGAAACCTCAGAGATCCTCTCTGGAGTGGAAAGTTGCAGTCTGTATATTAATCTATGCGTTCTTTGGCAGCTACGTACACGTTAACACTCAGATGTATCGCATAATTCTCTAACGATCCCCAGATGTCGGGATCCTAAGGGCACTGATCTCCCTGAGTACTCTGAGTGAGCGGACCTCCGCACTGCCCTCTGATGCCCCAACCTTGCCTATGGGGAAACTCCATAGTTGCCTTGAAGTCCTGCAACTCACATGTTGATCACCAGATGGCACTTGGCTCTATTTTCTAAAGGCTAGATTTTCACTGAATAAAGGAATTTTTTTATGAAACAAAAATATTCCTCAAAATAGGTAACAAAATAATAAGTTCCAATGCGCCTGGATTCTCTTTGTGTATTGTGAATTATATAAGATTGAGTGAAGGTACACACGCACTCAAACACACACACACAAACACACACACACACACACACATACATTTTCTTCAGCCATATCATCAATTTATTTCTGTGAATTTGTAGTTTATTGTGTGTCAGGCATCATCATTCTAACCCCACATCTACATGTCTCACACAATGCCTTTTTCCCTCTTTTGGTCTGCTCAAGTGGATTACCATGGAAACCATTCAAAGAGACTGCATTAAACTGTCTGGTCCACAAAGGAAAACAAATGCTGCCTTGGGAAACCAAGGAAAATTTGGCCCATCCTTCCCATAGTGCTCGCTATCAGGCCCCACCCTGCACCTGACTATATCTCCCTTACGGAGGGGAGGGAGGATAAACCTTGTGTGGTGTCTGTCTTGGAAGTTATCCTGGGTGCGGAGTAGATTTTTTTATGATTCTGCTTTTCATTTGATAGTGCAGTTAACATGTCTCCATACTTAACCAAGTATGGATGATCTATAAGAAAGCAATTTTTTTAAGGGGGACATTGAGGTTACACCAAGCACGTGACTTCCCTTTCCCACACTGTGGGACTAGAGCCAGAGCCACAGGACTCAGAGAGGAAGAGGAACCACACCTTCAAAGACAAAGACAGGCAGAGGGTCCAGGCTGAGCATGTAACTGTCCTGATTTCAGGAAATGCTCACTGCAGGTTTCTCACATAGCAGTCACCTCCTCTCAGCTCTCCACGTGGGTAGTCTGTGAGCAAAGGGACACGCTTCTCCATTGCTGGAGAGAATGCAACTGTTCTCCAAGCCTATGGAGGGATCTGATGCTAGTAAAACACAAGCGTGCAATCTGGGGACCAGGGAACTTTCTTCTAAGGATCCATCCCAAAGAACACAGAAGGGGACACAAAGACTGTCAGAGCAACAATGTAGAACTCCAAGATCAGAACTATGAAAATCGTCTGTGGGAAGGAGAGAGTGACGGCACGATCTCAGGTGTATCTATGACCCAAATGACGAGGTACTCATGTGCTTAACCAGGTATGGTGGTATGCATCTGTGATGCCAACAGGCTGATGGTAAAGACAAGAGAATAGTCGTTTTGAGGCTATCCTGAGCTACATAGTGAGTTCAAGTTTTATCCGACTTATATACTGAGATATTATCTCAAAACAAACAAACAAAATAATTTTTAAGAAGGCAACATAAAGTCCGTGATTGTAATTATAGCATTATCTCCAGGACATATTGTGATTACACAACACAAGGTGAAGAAATGAGGCCAGTGTTATCTGCCTAATGTTTTCCTCACAGTTACATGTGGCACATGGAGGTTAATAAATTATATAAACCTATTTAAAATAAATAAAGTCAGCTTTTAACAAACAAAATTTAACCATAATTTTAAGTGTCACCCTCAGCACTGCTCAGATTTCCGGTGGCCAACAGCCACAGACAGCTAGTGCTTCCTGGGCTGGGCAGTGCAGATCCTGAGCATTTTCATCAATTCAGAAAGGTGCATTGGGAACAGAAGAGTGCACACCTTTACTGTGAGTGGGAGAATTGATAAAATATGTATGCTTGTGCTTTGAAACACTGGATAGTTGAGCACCCCCCAAGAAAAGAAAATGATCTCCTACAGAGTGCCCTAGAAGAAACCAGGACAGAGGCTGACAACATTTATGCTCTCGAAGATGCTGAAGTACTCATTCCATGCACTGAATCCAATCAACTACTTATCACCAACAACCCCATTGCTCAGATTGAGTACACCACAAACACTGCCCCCTCAAAGATGCCTGGGGAAAATGTCTGATTCCAGATTTGGGGCCAGGAAAGCAACAGATAAGTGCACAGTGACCTATCACATCAGGAAGAATTTGGAAAAGACTAAGAAGTCTGTGTTAAAATGGAAATCTTCACGTGAGTGCAGCAAGTCAGATTTATCAGGGAGATGTGGAATATTTTCTCTTACAGATTGAATTAAAGACAAGACATGACAGTAGAAGCCAAACCTACAATTGTTTAATATGTATGAGTTTAATTGGAGTTACCTGACAAAAGGGATGATGCTCCTCCCAGACACCATGGATTATTAAAAAGCCCAGTGCCAGTGTGGCATACCCCCTCCAGCTGTTGGTCAGGGCTGTTCCAGTGATCCCCCAAAACAATACAGGTCATTGTCATTGCTCTTGATTCCTATTGCTTAAGACACCACACACTTTGACCACAGGGTGTGGGAAATCAAGTTGACACTGACCAGAAACCTTCCTTCGTACTTACCTAGTTTTCCTATTACCAGAAGATACTACCAGGCTACTGAGGAGAGGAAACTCATCAATATTCTTATCCCTCTGTGAACTACAATAATGGCCAGCATGGCAGGATATACCCATGGGTCAACAGTGGCATGAATATCACAGAGATAACCAAGTAACTTTATGTTTGAATCTAAGGCCCATTTCACGGGAGGAAACACTTGCCTAGTACTAAAAATCTGTTCATGATCCCATGGTTGGCGAGTTCATAGGTCCCAGAGGTGAAACTATTACCACTACCACTATCAGTACTACTACCACTATTATTACTACTACAACTACTATTACTACTACCACTACTCTGGTAGGTGGACATCATATGAAACTCTCCTAAACAAACAAATCTTAAAATAAATAAACTTAAAACCATCTTGATAGGAGAGACAACCAGAGCCCCGGCTCAGTGCCATGTGGCACAGGCGGGACAGGTGCCACACTGATGAGCAAGTGTGTAGTGGAGAGATGAGGGGGTAAGAGAAGTGGAGTGGGTCCACGTGCTGTGGAGAGAGGCAGGACTAGAGCCTTGCTGGCAATGAGGAACAGACTGAGGACCATGCCCGCATTCAGGGCCCTGCCATAGCTGGGGTCTGTGTTGATATGAGGATATCCATGGTCTGGGCTGCCACCACCAAAGGCCATGTTGATGTCTAAGGACCATGCTGTTGCCAGGGCCATCCTGATCTGAGTGGCCTTTGCTGCCAACTGAGGCCATGGCGATGCCCAAGCCCTCTTGTGGCCAAGGACCATGTCTGGGTCTGTGATCCTACTGCAGCCATTCACGGTCTGTACTGATGTCTGAAGCCCGTATTACTACAAAAAGCCATGTGGAGGCCTGTGATCCAAGCTGCCACCCGAAGCCCTGTTGATGGTCAAGGGTGGTGCTGAGATGGCCATGCCCCTTGACAGTAGCAGGAGAGTTGGTCCTGACTCACTTTCTGTCACACATTGGCATTGGTATGATGTGGGTGAGGAAGAGCTGGTTCCGCCCCTTACTGGCCACCATACAGGTGGCTGAGGGGAATGCCTTCTACATAACTCCAAATGTCTGAGATGATGACACGGTGCCTTCTCACTCTTTCCCCCAAGGAAGACTTTAGGACCCAACAACAAGGGGAGCTCACACTACCCCTCTTTGGCTGTACCCTCCTCTCTCCCAAGAGCTGGCCCTGCCCCTCACCAGCTGCCACAAGGCACTGGAGAACTGTTGGGACCATAACTGCTGGATCTCCATGACCTGGGGCAACAGCAAGATAGCAGAAAGAAGTCTCAGTGAGGGCTCAGTTTTGATGATGTAGCATAAGCCAGAGACTTTAAAGCAGAGCAAGGACTCTTTGCAATGAACATTTGCAAGCAAAGCTAGATGAGCTGCCGTGTGACATACCGCAGCTCCCAATGGCACTGTGATGGAGAAGAAGAAAAGCAGGAGCAAAGTGGCACATACACCGTGGAGTGAGACAGAATGGGACAGGGAGAGAACTCTGTGGGTAACAGAGGAGCAGGTCGTTGCCCAGAGGGTTTGGCAAGATGTTTTCTGTTTTGTTTTGTAAATTTAATTTTTATTTTTTAATTTCCTTTGTGGAGGGAGGCTACAAGGGTGGAGGACAGACATGGAAGAACTGGGAAATTGTTGGGATTGTGTTCTTTAAAGCACAAATAACATATGGAGTTGCTCCAATTACTGCTTACCTCTACTTACTGACAATTTAGCCATCTAACATGATACTCCAGGACCTCTGCTAGTCTTCACAGTGCAGGAACAAGATGCTCACAAAAGAGGCCACTATGTGAATATCTGGATAAATATATATGAAGGAATTGATGCGTATTTGACATGCCATGTAACACACTGGTATTTACGGGAGTAGCAAGAGAATATGGTATGGAATTAAGCAGTCTGTGACTCCATATCCTAGAGGACAGAATATCAAACACAGTAGCAATATTTTTTAACATGGACAGCCATCAGAAAGAAGTGGCTTTGCCACACCCCACTTCCCAGGGTTTGATTCAGTGTCTGTTGTGGACCCAGATATCTACCATTTTAATAAGGACTCCCTGCAAATGTGAGGCAGTAATGCATGGCCCATTCAGGGAAATGGTCTGATAGGGATGGCTTCCATTTCAGTCCTGGTCATTTAAATGAACCCATGCAGGGTACAGTCATCTGGGGAGTCTATTAATGTTATTGTTCCACAGTATGCTGCTATTGCTACTACCTGCTCAACAGGATGTGTTCTTACAAAGCATCACAGATCCGCTGCTGTTTACACCGATGGTAAGAGAAAATGAAATGACTCACCTGGTGAGTCCCACATGATCTTGTCACTCTTGCTAGGTAACAGACTGACAAGACCACACCACACTTGGTTCTTCTCCAGGAGCTGGTTCTGTATGGAGAGTTCACAGTTTTCTCCCCTGTTCTACTAGAAGGCAGAGTAAGGGGAGAGAATGCTCATGGAGAGGGGAGGAAGGCAGATGAGAATGCTCATGCACTCTACTGTACTGAACATAGGGATGGAGTAGTCTGTCTGCATCCAGTCAAGTCAAAGATGTGCAGTGACATTTTCCTCTTCTTTGTTCATCTCACAGATCCTTCCTATACACACTTATGTATACATCACACACACACACACACCATTGGCACTTACGACTCTCACATACTGAACACAAGGGCTCATGTCAGCTTCTTGTCAACCTTCTGCGTGTTCTCTCTGCCTTCCTGTTGTTCTTATCATAGAAGAGAGCTGACATTGACAGAAAGAGGAGACAATGTGTCACTGCCAGCTAGCATTTGGTGATTACTGTCTTCCAGGGGTGGTCAGATAATCCAGAATTCTAGGCAGATAAATGAAGAGCAGGTCCACTTGAATGTGTGTCTTCACACGGGCACGTTATGGGATAATTTAAGTATCACAATATATAATGATGACAAAGGTATACTCCTTTAAAAAAAATGGGTGTTTCTGAGTAGACACAAACGCATGAGTAAATACATTAATAAGCAAAAGAGAAAAAAGTGAAACTTTACTCAAAGACAAGCAATGCTTATAGACTAGTAACTGCACAGGGAAGTAGGTATCAGAGCAACCCTTAGCAGGAGTCATGGTAATAATCCATATAGCAAAACCATCCATAAAACACCCCCTCTGTACACAGTCTACAGCAGACACTGCTAAAATCTGCGTGACTGGATGGGAAAACAAGAGGGAAACACATGAGTACTAACCTTGTCCTTTTTGTTTTGGGAAAATTATATTAGATATAATGAAAATGATTAAGGATTCTTCATCATACTAACCTTTCTGGAATTACAGATACATACATAAATCTTCACATGTCTCCCCCCCTCTCTCCCTTCCCCCCTCTCCCCCCCCCTGTGATCTCAGCACCTACTTGATGGAGCTGGCTTGGAGGTAAAGGACTATCTCTATGATTCCACAGATTTTATTTGGAGCGACATTAGGCCTATGACTGTCTTAGAAATTTTTCCCCAAACTGGGTGTTGGACATTTGTTTATTTTGTCATAATTCACTAAATTCTCTGAAACGTCAAAATACTGGAACTGAAACACAGGAAAATAAATGTTAGCATCAAGGACATTTTTATCATAGAGAAAGAAACCTAACATTTCAACCTAAAAGATTCATTAACAGCCTCTGTTAAAATCTACTACCTACAGTAGGCTACAGTGAATTATATGAAAACTGTAATTTAAAATACCTGTCACTGGAGATAACATAAAAAATATGAAATAATTAGAAAAAATCTGCCCACTCACTTCTATGTAGTGCCTAGACATTGAACAGGACAAATCATAGCTTTTCTTGTCTTCATGGGATCTGCACGCACATACACATACCCCACACACAGACACACAAGCATATATACAGTAAAAAGTAAAAATAAATCTGAAAGGTAATTTATTTAAAATATAAATGTTACATGACTCTTATCAGAAAGCTTTTTAACGTTCTGGATCATAGATTAGGAGGAAAATTCTTAGAGGTAACAAACCCCCTTTCGTTAAATGAAGAAATAACTGGATTGTTAAGACTTCCATGAAGTGAGAAAATGTCCACTTTTCCAAATATATGATAGAAACATATTTTTCCTGCCTGGGAAAATGAATGTGGGAAATTGTGTATCATGTGACAGCCTTATTGTTTCCAGAATACAGAAAGCCTAAAAAAGAGCCACTAAGAAAATAGACAATTCAGGAAATAAAAGTTAGCCAGAAGGGTGAGTAGATGCTCCACTAAGAGAAACATACAGCCGCAACATCCTTAACACTTAGGGAAGAGAGGCAGGTGACCCTGAGGGGACTCTCGACACATCCATAAAATACTCAGAAATAAAGACTTGTCATACAAAGACCTGGCAAGGCTCTGGAGGATGAAACTCTCGTACCCACTGCTGGTGGTCATGGAAAACAGGACAGAGACTTGGAAAAGTATTTCCCAATTTCTTGATATGTTAATTGTCGTCTTACCGTCACATCCCCAAGCTCTTATGCTGGAGAAAGAAAACATAGTTTCTCTAAAAGACTTATTTCTATAAGTTTGCAGCAGCTTTGTATACTTTGTCTTAAATTGCTGAAGAGGACCCCAGGCCCAAATATTACATAAAAGCAAAAACATTTATTCCGAAATGCATGGTCTACCATTTGTCTAAAATGGAGACCCCAACAGGACCACTCAGGGCACTTTTAAACTCAGCTAGAGTAATTCTATGAACAGTTAGGTCATCTCAAACACAATTAGTAAAGCAAGTTGTAGCTACATTAGTAATTTTTAATTGTGTTTATAGTTTTGCCATTTGGGGGCTTACTTGAAAAAAGCAGGGTATGTCTTAGGGAGATTACAGGAAATGTCCTTTTTGGTCACTTCCTTGAAGTACTGTGGGGACTGCCTCAGGCCTAGTATGGGCTGTCACCTTCATCTCTGCATAGGTGCCATCTTCCTCATTGTCCTTTTAGGAAACCGAAACTCAGGGCCAGTTGTAAACTGGGGAAAATTCAGACCTTTCAATAAAAGAGACCGATATTGAAAACAACCTAAACAATAGCCAACAGATAAAGACATTCAATTCCCAAAACCGACATGGCAGCTCCCAACTGTAACTCGAGTGCCAAGGGATCCAAAACCTTCTTTTGGCCTCCATGGACACCAGGCATCCATGTGCTCTTCAGAATTATATGTAGGAAACATATATACACATAAAATAAATTAAATCTTTAAAACTTATAGTGTGATTATACATTGCTACACCATTCAGTATTAAAAATGAATAATTGAACTGGAGAGATGGCTCAGAGGTTAAGAGCACTGATTGTTCTTCCAGAGGTTCTGAGTTCAATTCCCAACAATCACATGGTGGGTGGCTCACAACCACCTGTAATAAAATCTGGTGCCAACTTCTGGCCTGCAGGGACACCTGCAGGCAGAACATTGTATACATAGTAAATAAATGAATCTTTTTTAAATCTATTTATTATGTATATAGTGTTCTGGGCACCAGATCTCATAGATGGGTGTGAACCATCATGTGGTTACTGGGAATTGAACTCAGGACCTCCGGATCAGCAGTCAGTGCTCTTAACCACTGAGCCATCTCTCCAGCCCCCAATAAATAAATCTTTAAAAAATACTTACAAAAAGAAAAAAGAAAGAATAATTATCGTGTGCAACAAAACAAATAAATTTAAACATATATGCAAGATGAAAAAAGGAAGCCAGATGTATTTATTCTAATACATTCAAGCACATATAAATTTGTCTATAATGACAGATTGCTGTTATTTGCCTGGAGACAGGGCAGGGCAGTGGTTGGGATTGAGAACCTGAGTAACATAGAAATGAAACCTTCTGGATCGGTAAATAATGAAACTTGGACCTATCTGCGTATAAGAAGATGTCTATTGTCATTATGGAGTAAAGTAGAAAAATAGTAGTTATGTTTAAAATTTGGGGACTTGGACTTCAGAGATGCCTCCGTGGTTAAGAGGACTTGCTACTCTCACAGAAGACCTGAGCTGAGTTTTCAACACCCAGTTTGTGGCCCACAATGGACTGTATATCTATTTCCAGGGGATGCAACACCCCTTTTTGGCCTTCACCAGGCACCCACTCACTATATGTACGTGCAGATAGCTACATATGTATGGTAAAAGGGCTAGCAGAAGAAACATACCCTGAGCATGAAACCAGAGCCAGTGAGAGAAATCCACCCTGACCCTGAAACCAGAGCCAATGAAAGAAACGCACCCTGGCCTTGAAAAGAGAGTCAGTGAAAGAAACACACTTTAGCCCTGAAACCAGAACCAAGGCAAGTCACACCCTTTGCTACTAGAACCAGAGTCAGTGAAAGAAATACACGCTGGCACTAAAACTACAGCCAAAAGTTTAAAAAGGGCCAGTGAAAGAAACACACCCTGAAACCAAAGCCGAATCTCCTCCTGCTTGAAACCGAACATGAAACCAACCAATCCCTGAGCAGGAAAGTGATCCAATCCCTGAGCAGAAAACCAACCAATCCCTGAGCATGAAATCTAGCCAGCTTGAGTTTGTCCAAGCTCAAAGGGGCTAGAAATCCCATCAAGTCCCACCTGTGTGAGAAGCACTATATAGGCCCTGTACCTATTCAGTTGGGAGCTGCCTTCCCACCCTGGCAGAGGCAGCCTCTCTCCTGGATTCTTCCCTCCCAACAAATCTCTTGAATGAGGTTTGGGTGAGGTCTTCTTTTTCCAGAACGAAATGGAGCAGCGAGGAAAAATTTTTTCACTGGAGCCAGAGTTGAGAAGAGTGAGTGGAACCGAACTGTAACCGTTTCCCCGGGGAAAGCTGCCCCTAGCAGAGTAGTTGTTACGCTCCTGGGGACCTGAGAAGAACTTAACATCTTCAAATGGGAACCCCTCCCCTGCTGGAGCAGAGCTGTTACACTAGGGAAGCCTTCCCTTTAAACAGGGCTGTAAACTGCTATGCTTATGGTGCCTGTGGTATTTCTTGACTCCCGACTATCAGGATCCCTTTTCATCTGAGCTGTGATGCTTACAGCAATATTCCTTTCTGGCCTTCATCCGGCACCCACTCAGTATATGTACATGTAGGTTAAAAGGCCAGCCAAAGAAACCAGAGTAAAAGAAACACACCCTCACCCTGAGACCAGAGCTGGTTCACTGGCTCTAAAACCAGAGCCAAAGGGTTAAAGAAAAGGCCCTGAAACCAGAACCAAAGAAAAACCCTCTGCCCCAGGCCAACTGGGGACAAAACCAACCAATCACTGAGCACAAAACCAGCCAATCCCAGAGCACAAAATCCAGTTAATCTCTGAGCTTTTCCAAGGTGAGGAATTGAAATCCAACCAATTTCCACCCTGAAAATCTTCTTAAAAAAAAAAAAAAACTTCACCCCAAGTAGCCCTATATAAGCCCTGTGCCTGTTCAGTTTGGAGCCGCCCTTTTCCACCCTGGCAGAGGCAGTCACTCTCCTGGATTCTTCCCTCCCAACAAATCCCTTGAATGAGGTTTGGAGGAGGCCTGTCACTGAAGTGGAGTAGAGAAGCAACAGCTTTAGGCTGAGTCAGAGCAGAGAACAGAGCAGAACTCTAACACTCTCGCTAGGGAAACCCTCTCCTAGCTGAGCAGAGTTCTTCTACTCCCTGGAACTTTGGCAGAACTGGAACAACTTTACTGGGGAAACCCTTCCCTGCCCAAACGAACTGTTACAAAGCCTTTCCCTGGAGCAGAGCTATAGGCAGCTATGCTTATGATAACTTTGCGGTATTCCTTGGCCCCTGACTGCCAGATCCCTTTCCATGTAAGTTGCAGTGCTTACAATAGACACATTTTTTTTTTAAAGTTGCAATCATTGGTTTGTGAGAAGACACCCCTGGCACGCCTGATGACATTCTGCTCAGGTAAGTGTCAGCCACCCACAAGCCAGCCTGGATTGTCAAATTCTGGCCTGTCGGGAAGACATCCACAGGCCTGCCAGGTGCTTCGAGGGGGCCATTATCATGAGCAAAATGTGTGATGAAGAAACAGGAGAGAAAGGGCATCAGAATGGTTCAAGAGCTGTGAAGAGACGTGAAGGCGGTGAGGAACAGGCTCAGATGGGTGGTCTTCTTAGCACTCCATCCGGACTCAGGCTGCTGCCAAGGGCCGTGTCTAGGTCTGTGGCCCTACAGCAGGCAGTGTCTGAGTTGAATTCCATAGTTTCTGTTACAATCAAAGGCCATGTGGATGCCTGAAATCTGGGCCACCATCCGGGGCCATGATAGTGTCTGAGGGCCATCCTGCATCTGGGTCATGCCCATCTGAGTTGCCTGTGCTGCCACCTGGGGCAATGGTGACATCCACAACTGGCTGCTGCCAAGGACCATTTCTGGGTCCATGGTCCTACCACAGCTGGGGACAGTTTTGAAGTCCGAGGCCTGTGTTGCCACCAAATGCCGCACAGGAGCCCAAGGTCTGGACCTTAACTTGTGACCTTATTGGTGTCTGTAGGTCTTGTCTCTCAGAGTCGTGATGATCTGAGTTGTCTGTACTTCCACCTGGAGCCATGGTGTCATCTGGGCTCCAGCTGTTGCCAAGAGCCATGTCTGGGTCCATAGTCATTTTGCAACTGGGGTCTGTGTTGATGTCTGTGGCCCATTTTACCACAGGGTGGTATAAAAACCATGCATTATGAAATCTAAGGCCAGGCTGAGCTGGCCCTGCCCTTCACTGGACACAGCAAGTAGCTGGCCCCTACCTGCATGGGAGAGCTGGTCCTACCTTTCACCATGGGCATGGGAGAAATGGCCCTAATGGCATGGGCATAGGTGAGTTGGCTCCGCCCCTAACCTGAGGGGGGCAGTCCTAGTGGCCTGGGCTCACAAGCTAGGCTACCACCCAGGCCCACATTCAGGGTTTTGGGCTGGCCCATCCTAACATCTGCCCCATTTATGACCTGCTTGAACACTGGAGGGGACTGGAGGGACTGGTCCTGTACAATGATTCCAGCAGGATCTCTATTACGTGGGAAGCTACAGGATATCCGAGAGGAGTTTTGGAGTTCACTGATGATGGTATGCGAGAAACCAGAGGTCATGAATGAGGCCAATGACTCGTTTCAATGAACGTTTTCAATGAACGTTTGCGACAAGAGCTGATTGGACAAAAGGATATAGTGTGTGATCACCGAGGATCCCAATGCCACTAAGATGAATGAAGAGGTGTGTTGGACAGGGAGGAAAAAATGGAAAAGAGAAGAGGTTTTTTGCTTGTTTTGTTTTTGGTTTTTTGTTTGTTTTGCTTTGGTTTTAAATTTTTATTCTCTTGTGGGGTGAAGGGAAGATATGGGGGTGCCTGGAAATGAACAGAATTGCAGGATGTGAAATTCCTAAAGGACCAATAAAGAAATTATGTTAAAAATTGTAATAATCAAAATTTGTTAAAATGCATATATAAGTAAGAGGCAACATCCTAGTCCCAGAGAAAAGTCTCTTAAAATCTAGAAAAGTCTGTGTTAAAATCAGATTCTTAGCAAGCCTGTCAAAGGAGTCTTTTCACAGCCATCTGAGACATTCACGCTTATCACTGGTGATGGTTGAAGCGGGCATTATCACTAAAAGTTCAAGAGATTTGTGGATGAGCCATTCTCATCCCTTTTCACAGAGCCGGGAGTTGGGCGAGTGCAGGCATTGATGCCTATTTTATTTTCCACAAACACCCCATCTTCTCCCAGAAAATGGCTTCTGGCCATTCTGAACCAGGACAGTACACGCTTGTGTATCCAGAAGCCTCCATGTCTTTCTCCCTCAGGAGATGAAGCAGCACCTTCAGGCTTGGGTCTGAGAGTTTTGTCTTCCAATACCCATGGATGTCAGCTCGCACCGTAGGGCACTCACACTCTCAGCTCAGTCCAAATACTTGGGGGCGGGGAACTTCTGCTCTTCTTGCCAGATCACCTAGTGTTCCATTAAAAAAAAAAAAAAAAAAAAAAAAAGTCATCCTGGTAGCCTTAATGACGTCAGGTTTCTATAGCAACCGCCATGCACGGGCGGCTGTATAGAGACGCCCCCGCCCATCCTTCCTTGAGCCCAAGACTTTTTCTGAGAACAAAATGCCTTCGAAGACCTTCGGGCTACCTGAGAAAGCACGCTGAGAGAAAGCAGGATGAGAATCAGGAAATGAGAAGAACTTTGACCAGGTTATTCGAACAAAACAGTTTCCCAGTGACTGGCCCCTTCTCTCAGTAATAGATGGAGCTGGTTTCCATTTAAAAGTCCTCAAGGTCACTCTAATGATGTCAGGTTTCTATGGCAACTGATATTCACAGGATGTTCAACAGACTGGAAAAGCTTCCCCCATAGCCCTCCCTTCCTTGTCTTTGCATTTTTCTGAAAGCAAAAACGGAATCACCTCTTCAACCTACCTGAGAAAGCAAACTCGTTAAAGAAACTAGGCAGGGAAGTAAGCAATTACCAGAAGCCTGTCCAGATGGGTGAAATTAAACATGTTTCTGGGGTTGGGAATTTTATTTTCTTTAAAAGTAACTCCTTGAATAAATTCTAAATAATTAAATAGAACAAATACATTTAAAAAATGAGTGATAAGTATGCCTTATCTTATACATGGAATCTGGGGGGTTATATAAAAATGGGAGTATTGTTAGGAAAGAGGAATAGAATCTGGAGAAGTGGAAGCCATTAGCAGAAGATAATGTGATCAAAGTATAATGCGTGTATGAATATGTCATAATGAAGCTCACTGTTTTAATGCATTATATTTTAAAGGACCCTGTCTAAAACAAAACAAATCTTGACCATGGAAGAGTAGTATAAGTAAAAAAGGGAGACAAAAATGTCTTTTGTGGCTCCAGATATCTGCTAGATCTTTCAGGTAAGCATATGATGTGCATACATCTTATATTTATAAGTATACACAGCATATAGATATTTACACTATACAGTCAGTCAGTCATTTATAACAAAAAAAAACCAAGACCCTGTCTTCTAATCATGTGACTGGATGATCTAGAAACATCAACAAATGTCATGTAATACAATCTCAGAATCATTTCAGAGGAGTTTTTAGAATAATATACCCACAATTTAGTTGGCAGAAATCTAGTCAATTCAGCCATACAGTTGTTTATTCTGAGGAATCTTTATCCTCCATTCCTGATACTTTCCCCAATATAGAAGGATAGCCATTAACCAACATGCATTATACCCCCCTCTCTCTGTATAATCACCCATGATCGACCTGATTTAAGACACTACAAGTTGTACTACGGTCGCATAACCCAAGTGCTCTCCATTCAATCAGAGAGGCAGTAAGCTACCTTGCAGGAGCTATGTCTCTGATTTACCCCTGATTTTGTGTGTGTGTGTGTGTGTGTGTGTGTGTTGACTTTTATTAGGCTTAAAGCTGTTTTCCTGTTTCTTTGCTCCACTGTCTCCCAAAGTATAGCTATAAATTTCTTCAAAAGACTTCAATGACCCAACAAAATCCTCTCGACACTGCGACACTTACATTATCAACTTCAGCGTCCATACTTGAGAGGCATTCAATGAAGTTCCAAAAGAAACATCAACAAAAAATGTTTTAAGTAAACTTATGATTTGGGATTGGGCCACATTCATAGTTATCCTTGAGCAGAAGAGCTAAGGAGGCAAAAGAAGAAAACTACACGGACTTTATCCTGCAGAAGGCTGATATTAAATGATGTTACTTAAGAGCTGCCAGCATGCTGCCTTCCTACTAATAAATTCCAAAATTTTCCAGAAATGTTCACCTGCAGTGCTGTGTTTGAGTAGTCCCACGGCCAGACTGTAGTACACAGGTACCTGCTGTCCTGTAAAAGAGGACATTGTTTCTGTACATAGGTGGACAAGGAAAGTAACTTTGTTGACAAGGTCTATCCTGGTAGCAGGAGACAGTGTTTCAAGAACAACTTTTGAGAAAAACTTTTCTGTGTAATAAAAACTTACGTAGTATACATGTTATTATTTATATTTAGCCACCAAGAAGGAAGTTTCCTGGATAGTGGAGTTTGGTTTCTTTATGCCCTGCAACCAGCGTGTGTCTTCAGCAGTAAGGTTTTGTTGTCTAGTTATAGTGGACAACCAAGAAGAATGACAATAGTCTGTGTTGTTTGGGGGCACTTTGCGGGCCCCCTTGACTCATAGGGAGGAATCTAATATCTGGCACTGAAACTTTCATTTAATAATCCATGTCTTCAGGGGGAAGTATATTCACCTGTTCAAGATATGTTTTTTCAAACTCATTTTAATTTATTTAATTTGTATTTATTTTAGTGTCTTGGTGTTTTGTCTACATGTCCTTCTGTGCACCATGCCTAGTACCCATGGAGGCCAGAAAGGGAAGCTGAATTGCTCCTGGGATTGGAGTTGCAAGCCATTGTGAGTCACCATGTGGGAGATAGAGTTAAACCCATGTCCTGGGAGAGTAGTCAGTGCTCTTAACCATTGAGCCATCTAGGTCCCTGACCTCTATGGGCATCCCAACTTAAATACACAAATATAACAATTTGAAACTAGGATTCATATATGAAAGAAAATGTGGCATTTGTCTTGTCTTTCCTAGTATAAGATTTTAATTCTGTTTGTTTTCCTACAAATTTCATTTTCCTTTAATATGAATTGTATACACGCATACACACACATATTTTTTGTTATCCATTCATCACTTGGTAGACACCTAGGTTGATTTTATTTTGTAGGTATTATGAGTAGAGCAGCAATGAAAATAAGTATGCAGTTATCCCCATGGTAGGATACAGAGTTTGAATATATAGCTATATATGAATTCATCAATTTATACTCCCAATGGTGGATAAAAATTCTTTTATCCCCTACATCCTAGCCAGTATTTGTTTTCATTTCTTTGCATGGTGATAGATAGTCTGACTTGGGTGAAATGGATTATAGTTTTAAATGTAGTTTTCTGAAAGCTAATGATGATGATTAATTTTTGAAATGTTTATTTGCCATTTGTATTTTTCTTTTGAGAATGTTTTGTTTAGTTCTATCATCTAATTTTACTGGGTTGTTGGTTTTATTGAATTCTTTGTATATTAAAAATGCTAATCTTATATAGCCCGTTTTTATTAGGTTGTTTTTTTCTTGATGTTTGGTTTCCTGAGTTCTTTGTATATTCTAGATGCTAATCTTATGTTAGATGTATAAGATGACAAAGAATTTTCCCCTTTCTGTACTTTCCTGGATTATCAGTTTCCTTCGCCTATTAATTTCATGAGAACCCATTTATCAACTTTGTTCTTACTTCTCAAGTGATAGGTGTCCAATGTAGTTTTAAAGCTATTGTGAATGGATTGTTTCCTTGATTTCTTTCATCAAAGACTTGTCCTTGTTTTACAGAAGGCTACTCACATCCGTATGTCAATTTTATATTCTTCCACTTTGCTGAAAGCTTTTTTTATCAGTTCCATAAGTTTTCTTGTGGAATCTTTTGGGTTTCTTGTGTATAAAAATTATATCATCTGCAAACAGAAATATTTCAACTTCTTCTTTTCTAATTTGTATTTTTTAATAGTTTCTCTCATCTTATGACTCTAGCCAAATTTTTCTATACTATATCAAATATGATCAGAGAAAGCAGACATCCTTGTTTTATGGCTTTTACTGAAAATGCTTGGATTTCCCCCATTTAATATAACGTTGGTTTGTCACAAAGAGCCTTTATTGTGCTGAGATATTTTCCTTTTCTTCCAAGTTTCTTGAGGAATTTGTCAAAAATCCTTTTATACATCTATTAGATGTAGATGACCATGTGATTTTTGTCATCTTTCTACAAATAACACTCATACACAAATTATAGTCAATTTTCTAAAGAAGTCCTGTTGAGTTTTCAGGAGTAAGAGAATCCCACTGACCAAAGCATGCCTTGTCATTCTAAGGCATGTGACAAGAAAACAGAAACAAAGGATTGTTTCTCATCCAATTAAAAAAAATGCTTCACTCAAAAGGAGGGAGCATTTAATCAAACTTTAATGTTTTGGACTTATGTGTCTGCTTAACTGATACCTCTCAATAATATAGATGTTGATTCTTGGTGGTCTGCGTGTGGACTTGGCTCAGATGGATGTTTTCCTGCCCCATATGGTGCCTGTCACCTGGAGCTGCAGTCATTTGGAGGATCTATTTATCTGGAAACCTGGAGGCTCTTTTTACATGCTTTGCAACTAGTATTGACATCTGCTGGGCTCTCGGCTGGGGCTGTTGCTGGAAGTCCTCCAGGGTTACCAGAGGGAAAAAGGTAGCAACCAGTCAAATTCATGTTCAGGATAAATGATGAATACTTTTTATTTGAATGTGAAAATTAATTAAATGTGTGAAACTGGCTTGGCCATTGTACTTAGACAACTGAACATTATTCTGAATGTTTCTGCAATGATGTATTTGGATGGGTTAACATTTAAACTTGTGGTGACTCAGACTAAGTACTCTATAATGTCGATGAACATCATCCAGTCATTTAGAAGCCTGATTAAAGCAAAAGTCCAACTGCCCTTGAGTAGGAGGAGAGGCATAGTAGCAGATAGAGATCCAGCTTGATCAACATTAGATTTCCTGTCTTCTCCCGGCCCACAGTTCACCCTCTGCCTCTACCATGCACCCACACCCACGCATTGTCTTTCTCCTGATGCTGCATGTATCTTTATTCTGTTCATTTGAATGCAGCTGTACTTTCTATGCCTTACTAAATCCAGCAGTCCTAAGGGAAGAACTTCGGAATAAATAAAGCAATGACCATTCTTTCAAAGTGGCACGTCTGGGAAAACATGCTGATCAGAATGTCCAAAAAAGACGAAGACTGAAAATATCTAAAATAATAAGGACTTGCACAGACACTATCCGCATCAAATAAGCATACGAGTTTGTTTCCTTGGGCTCATATTATTATGGCTTAACAGCTTGATTGGCCTGTCAAGAATAAATCCTATTTCTAACAAAAGGGGCGAGCTTGCTTGGTTCAGAAAATACACATCGCGGTGGTTCTGGTGTGCATAATTGTTAAAGGCCACTGGCTAAGGAGACAGGTCACAAGGCCACCATAGCATCTTTTTTTTTTTTTTTGGCTCTGGGGAGAAAAAACAGCAACTATTATAGAGCATGTTTTTATGATAATTGTAGCTAGCTCCAGGATCTTTGGTGTCGGCTTTGAATCTCGGGACAGTCCCTCATATGAGGTATTTCTATTCTGTCTTCATGGATGTGTGACTACAACACTCGTGTTCCTAATCTCAAAGACAGATGGCAAGAAGTCTGCTCCAGACCCTTGCCAGAGCCAGGAAAGAAGTCTGTCAGCCCCAGCACCTGGGAAGGAAGGCTGATGGAAGATCAATGTGCGAGAACACATTCTGCTGTGAGGCTTGATCATCTCCCGTGTTTACCAGATAGTAGGCGGGCTTAGGACCCTCCCCCTTGTTCTAGGGATTTTTTTTTTTCTGTCACATATGGGAAAATAAGCTCTCTAAGGTCAGTGTTTCTTTAATCTTATCTGAAATATATAAAAATTTTATGTATACACACACAGAGGGGAGAGAGAGAGAGAGAGAGAGAGAGAGAGAGAGAGAGAGAGAGAGAGAGAGAGAGAGAGAGAGAGAGGTGGGCTTTGGGGGACATTAGAAGAGGAAGAGTTTCCTCATTCAGGTATTACTGAAGACGTTTACAGATCCCTTCAGTAGCAAGGATCTGAGCTCTATAACAAAGATCGAAGAGGATATTAAGTTGTGTACAAAAACCGAGTAGCTAACCAGGAGGTAGATTTTTCTGTTTAAGTGGATGAGCAGAGTGGTGTCCTGAGGCCAAAAGTCATAGAGACAGCTAAGGACCTGTCAACTCAGCCATAAACAATGAAAACACACAAATAAGGGTAAAAGGGCATCCCTCAAGCTTTATCTGGCGTTTAAGGGGAACTATTGTGGCAAATAGCATAATCATTTAACAATTTAAATATTTACCATGCAGTTAAAAACTATCTCTTTAATACTGATTCCAATCATCTATATATTGCTTCCTCACATCTACGCAACAATGTGCTTTCCAAAATTATTTATACTTGTTCGTGTAGTGTTCTGTTGTTGGGCTGTTAGCTAACTTACACAATTGTCCATCTTCTTTCCATATGAAAAGCCTATTTGACATACAAATCTTAATTGTGAAGACAGTGAATTCTTTTTAAGCCCTGAGATAACTATAGAATTTGGCAAGATTCATGCTACATCCTTTTAAGATGGAACTTGGAGAACTGTGAGATCTTAATATAATACTGGGAGAGGAAAACTTGGCACAACTTCTTTGTGGGCACTCTTGGCAATGTCAATGAGGGAGTAAAGAGAGGCAGAAACAACATATGCTCCCTTAAGTCTGTACTCAGAGACTTAGGCACATGAGAAAGCATGGTCAGTGTAGCATAGCTAAAGTGACAAAAGATTTCATTAGAGAAACTCAAGAACCTTTCTTAGGAACAAATCCTGCAATTACCAATATGTAATAGCAATACAGTTAGAGATTAAAACATGAAAACAGTTGTGTGTGCTTCGTTCATGGGTATGTTCATGAGTAGTTAAACACAGATCAAAGTAAGTGAACGATACAGGTAGACTCGGAAGTGGTTCCTCCCAGTGGTGAGGTGATTGATTGGAGGGGTCACTTAGAGAAACCCGTTCTGGAATAACTTGTTCTTTAGCCTTGACTACATAGGATTTTGCCTATTATGGTTTTATGATACCTTTTTAAATGTCCTAAATCAAACATAGCTTTCATAACTAAATCTCTAATTAGTTTCTATTTTGGATTATCAATGATCCATTATTTACTTTGCAAATGCAGAAAATGCTTTCACTATTAGGACCAGATCCATAATCTTCAGCCCCATCAAACTATCAGAGTGTTATGTTTTCTCAAATTATCATCTATACATGTATATACATATGTGCATTGTATATGTGTTGAACACAAGTTTAAATAAGCAAGAAGGTGTGGTTTGTGGCTCCTCTGCATTGGGATGATTCTTGCCATCTGTGCTAATCCATCTGACCCACTTCTGACTCTGTTCTATTGGGAAAACTACAATGTGAAGCCAGCACTATTCATTTTCACCATTTGCTTGCAGTGTTGAAATAAGATTTTACTGTTACTTTAAGTTTTCCTTGCTGTCCTAATGAACCATTTTTGACACCTGAGTGCTCAACAAGATGGATATGAAAGGTCTAATTCAACACTGGTCTGTAAGACAGCATTAGTTTCTACCTATAAGTCCCCATGTGCCATATCTTTATTATCTCTAAATTCAAAATAGTACCTGATGCCATTGTAATTCCCTTTCTACTCACCCTTATTTAGATGTATTGCTTGACTTAAATATTTGAAGACTTCTAATTATCTTTGCAAGTCTGGAAATATATTCAGACAGGTTAAAATCCTTCTTTTGTGTCCCAGTTTATATGTCAACTTTGGGAAATAGTCCACAAACTTATTTATTCATTTACTTACTTACTTATTGTGGTACTGGAGACCGATCCCAGTGCCTTTTACAAACTAGAGAAGTGCTTTACCACTGAACTACATCCACAATGCACAGGTGAATCTTAAAGATATTTTTCAGCAGTTGTTTGCTGTGTTTCACCTGTTAATAAAATATATTACTAGCTTTGTAAATCTTTATTATCATTAGTGCTATTTTCCTAATTATACTATTATATACCCAAAACTTACATTATGCACTCTTATATCGATTATAGATTTTCCCCTTTTAAAAAAATTTATTGTTATTATTGAGCTATATATTTTCTCAGCTCTCTTCCCTTCCTTTCCTTTTCCCTTCTACTCTCTCCCATGGTCCCCATGCTCCCAATTTACTCAGAAGATCGTGTCTTTTTCTACTTCCCATGTATATTATCCATGTATGTCTCTCTTAGGGTCCTCATTATTGTCTAGGTTCTCTGGGATTGTGAATTGTAGGCTGTTTTTTTTTTTTTTTTGCTTTATGTCTAAAAGCCACTTATGAGTGAGTACATATTTCTCTTTCTGGGTCTGGATTACCTCACTCAATATAATGTTTTCTAGATCCATCCATTTGCCCTCAAATTTCAAGATAACATCATTTTTTCTGCTGTGTAGTACTCCATTGTGTAAATGTATCACATTTTCCTTATCCATTCTTCGGTTGTTTCCAGGTTCTGACTATGACAAATAATGCTGCTATGAACATAGTTGAGCATATGTACTTGTGGTACGATTGAGCATCCTTTGGGTATATATCCAAAAGTGGCATTACTGGGTCTTGAGGTAGATTGATTCCTAATTTTCTGAGAAATCACCATACTGATACTCAAAGCGGCTATACCAATTTGCACTCCCACCAGCAATGGAGGAGTGTTCCCTTTACCCCACATCCTCTCAAGCATAAGTTGTCATCAGTGTTTTTGATCTTGACCATTCTTACAGATGTAAAATGGAATCTCAGACTTGTTTTGATTTGTATTTCTCTGATGTCTAAGGATGTTGAACATTTCCTTAAGTGTCCTCCAGCCATTTTAGATTCCTCTGTTGAGAGTTCTCTGTTGAGGTCTGTACTCCATTTTTTATTGGATTATTTGTTCTGAGGACCAATTTCTTGAGTTCTTTGTATATATTGGAGATCAGCCCTCTGTTTGGTATGGGGTTGGTAAAGATCTTTTCCCCTTCTGTAGGCTGCCATTTGGTCTTGTTGACCATGTCCTTTGCATTACAGAGGCTTCTCAGATTCAGGAGGTCCCATTTATTAATTGTTGCTCTCAGTGTTTGTGCTACTGGGGTTATATTTAGGAAATTGTCTTCTGTGCCAATGCGTTCAAGTGTACTTCCCACTTTCTCTTCTATGAGTTTCAGTGTGGTTGGCTTTATATTGAGGTCTTTGATCCATTTGGACTTAAGTTTTATGCATGGCGATAGATATGGATCTATTTTTATTCTTCTACATGTTGATATCCAGTTATACCATTCTTATATTGATTATAGATTTTTCAACATATCTGTTGTGATTTGAATCTGAATTTCCCAACCATGTCCCTGAAATTATGGCTGCCAGTTGATTGGTTTGGGGGGGAATGATAGGTTTCTGAGGGCTCTGACCTAATCAATGAATTAATCTCTTCGTCAGCAGTGAGGAGACAGACACAGAGCTCCACACTGCCACCCTAGAAAACCTAAGACTTCCCCTAAGCTTTTAGGAACCTCAGCTCAGGCTGGATTTGTTTTCTTGGCTTTGCTACTAAAAAGAACATCAGGACTAGCCAATTTAGAAAACAGTGCTGGAGATTTGTATTAAAGCTGTTTGAATTTCAAAAAGCAAACAGTTGACAGCAAGCCAGGCTCTCGGAAGAAAGTATATTTTGTATCTTAAGGCATGAGTCTGAGCTTCTCCAAGAGCAGCAGAGCAGCAGGCTCACCAAGTGTTTACCTAAGCATTGGTATGGGCTTCTCAAGGGAGTGTTAGCTAGGAATTGTCAACATTAGTCATATATACTATTAAGGTAGCTCTCAGATTACATCTCAGAAGATAGCTAAGAAATCACATTCCTTCTCCTCCTTAGATAAGTGAAATTATAGGCTGGCTATGCAGGTGGCTTAGGTGGAATTAGAATCTGATAAGAGAAAACCAGAAGCATTGCCCAAGGTATTTAGTATATGACCTATCCTTGTAAGTGGACTGGGTAGTGAGTTTGTTAGAAAATTCAAATTTTTCCATCCGGGAAGGGGGAAAGGCCTTTTGTTCAAGGCAAGCAGGGTAGGAAGAGTCCAGTGGCAGCTGGCTAGGAGTTGTTAATAACAGTATGCTGGAATTCTTGCTTCTTTGCTGGGAGAGGCTTTGGCTGGATTCTAGGGTGAGGGGGAGTCCCTTCTCCTCAAGTCTCCAATATTTCCCCTGTCTTTCTACCCTGCCTCAGCTTGTTGAATTTACAATGATGGCCATAGTGAGACTTAGGGCCTGGTTGAAAGAAGTAGATCAACTGGTACATATCCTGCAAAATAGAACTTGTGGCTGGCCCCTTCCTGTCTCTGCCTGCATCCTGAACAGAAAGTGAGCAGCCTTTGCCCCATATTCTCGACTCTTGGTGCTTCTGCTTCACCTCAGGCCCAGTGCAATAGAACCAACTGATGACTGAAACCTTGGGGAACATGAGGCAAAATAAATCTCGCTCCATTGAAGTTGATTTTTTTTCTTCGTGCATTTGTGATGGTGACAGAGAAGTAGCTTTGTCATTACTGTGCTCTGATCTTTAATTCTGTGCTGGTTCATACTGTCAGCTCAACAGACTCTAGAATCTCCAGAGACAAGCCTAGGCGAATGTCTGTCAGGGATTATCTTGGTTAGGTTAGCCCCTGGGCACATATAGCAGGGCTTATCTAAATTAAGCTAATTGAGGTGAAAAGACTCCTACTAAATGCGGGGAGGGGGGGATCCATTCCCGGGGTGGGGGGAGGGGGGTGGGGGGCGGGAGCCCAGGAATGCATGAGAAGTGAGGAAGCTAACAGAACAGCATCCATCACACTCTGCAGACTCCATGTGGTCAGCTGCCACCTCACAGCTTCGTCCACCATGCTTTCCCTACCATGGAGGACTGGCCCCTTCATCTGTGAACCAAAATAAATCCTTGCCTCTTAAGTTGCTGTCAGGGCATTTATTGACAGCAACGGGGAAGGGAATGCCGCATTCTTTCACGGAGCAATGATAGAAGTTAAGCAGTATGACACTCCTAGTGGCTTGATTGTCAGTTTTTCATTATTAAACATCCTTGTTTATCAACAGAACCCTCCTTGCCTTAACTCATCTCTTTCTTAAATGTCCTAGTTTATCTAGAGAACATTCATTGCCTTCTGTGACTTTTATAAAACAGTATCAGATTGCTTACAGAGTATATACACTTTTCACCATTTTCTGAGGCTCATTTTGTTCGCTGTTATATACCTACTGTGAACATTTTGTCACCATCTTGTACTTTTTCTTCTCATTGCTTCTCTTAGACCAGGAAGGGGAGAGGCTGTAGATTTTAATCTAATTGCTTCTGATAAATTACAAACTTGGAGTCTTAGGAACTGAGCTATATTTTCTCTCTAAAGATTGTTAGTCCAATCTCCTCTCAGTCTCTATGTTCTCTTTGGCTGGTTTTATCTACTTCTGCAGTTATTACTGCAGTCCTAAGGATGACAATTTAATTGAATACTTCTAGACAGACCTGTCTTATCCTACAGGCTTTTACCTGCTTGTCTAGAGTTTGTTAAGGTTTGTAAAAGTGAAAGGTCTGAAATAAACAGTTTCAGACATCCAAGTTGAACCTCCAGGAGGTGGGCAAGCCAGCTGCAATAGTGTTCTCAAATCCTCTGTGGAGTGTTCAAGCTGGCTGACGCTGACAGAAAAGAAGTTTGTCGGGTTCAAGAAAGGCAGGGCAGGAAGAAAGAATCCAATAACATCTACTTAGGAGTCCATTTGCTCTATCCACCCCCCAATGCCAGCATATTTACACCGATAATGGACCTAATTTAACAGTAATGGTGATTTTTTAACAGTGTTTGATACTTATCTAGTGCCCTAGAGAGAGGTAGGTCCTCTTTGTCTGCCTTGGTCACAATTATAATAAAAGTGCAGCTATAACACTGAAAATCCCAAAGCTAGCTCTTTCTAAACAGCATCAGCATAGCATTATAGAATACCTGTGATTATCAGGAAAGGAGACAGAATAGCCAGGGCATTTTTGACAATTTTGTTAATGGAATGCAGACCTTTTTCTGTTACTGGGCCAATTTTTCATCTTAAGCAAATAGTTCCATCTTGTTCAAGTAAACAGGAGCGAGTATAATTTATGTTCAAAAAGTTCCAACTGAAATGTGCTGCCTTAAAATTTGCTCCTGAGTTGGGCTAAATGAAAACTAATTTGGGGTGGTGGTGGTCTCATGGAGCCTAGGATAGCCTCAAACTCAAAATCTTTCTACTCCCACCCCCAAATTCTAGGATTACAGGCCAGTGCCACCACACCCAGCTTCAAAGGCAAGAAAGAGGCAGGGTTTTTCTTCTATGAGGCTCTGCATCAGACTCCACTGTAGCTGCGTCCAGGACAAAGAAGAAATTACAAGTGATATTGCTGGATGACTGGATTGCGGTTGCTTATGCTCTTATTTAGTTTCTGGCACAATCTAAATATGCATAATGACCTTTCATTGTATATTTCTAAAAGATAGTAAGTTTGAATGTTCTTCATAAAAACTTTCTGTTGTGTAAAAAAAAATAAATCAACCATAAGCAAAACTATGGATTGTTGTATATAATTTTAGGTTAATAACTAAAAATACTTAATAACTTAATAAATACAAGCTATTTTGCTATTTAATATACATTCTATTATGCACTGTGCCGAACACTGGCCTTTAGGATGATAAAGACAAAATTATTGTTATAAATGGACAGGGATGAACCTACACAGATATTGTAATGTATAACTTTAGTATCATAAATATATTCATAGTAATGCAGTAACTTAACAATTTTAAAAATTAAATACAGGGCAAGCGTAACTATACTCATACACTGTATATTTAGTATAGTTCAATTTCATAAGTTTAGAAGTGTATATTCATTATATAATCAAGTAAGGAAATTCGTGTTTGTAAAATGGGCCGATTTCTACCAATTTCTTTGTACCTATGTTTTCAAATCTTAAGACATATGAAAAATCAACTGGGTACTGTTAAAAACAGTAATCTGATTCAGAGGTCACTGACTGTGGACAACAAGCTGAGAAGGGCACCCAAGTATCAAGAACTCAGTTTTAATATTTCCCTTATGTGTACAGGTAGGTAGATTATATTCCCATAAACACTAACATATTATAATGTCTATAATTTTTGCATATGGGATTAAAGACTTCCTTTGGGGGTGCTTCTTTAAAAGTTTCCAGATCAGCGATTACTAGGCTTCTGCTATGGAGAATCAATTAGGAACAGTACCAAACAGGGCATCTAACGCCACTGTACTTAGCCTATGAGAATAAGCAACAACTTCCAATCACTTTGTATTACTGTCTAAAGGGTATCCTAAAAATTTACCTAAAAATCATTAAGGAAAATACTGTACATGTTTTTAAGAGCTTGCAATGGAGTTTGTGTCAGGTGTGGATGGGACAAACAGGATGCAGCCAGAGAATGCCTGTTCCCCAGTGAAACTGAGGTTTCCGGTAAGTCTAGGAAACCGGGTAGGCAGGACTGCTGATAGGCCGCTTTAGAGAAATCCACCCCAGGGTAGAAAACCTTAATGCTGCCAGCCTATTTGTGTTCTGGATGTTTAGTTATGCAGTTCTGGGCACAACCCTGAAAGGTATCTGTTACCTATTGTGCCAGCCTCCAGTGAACCCTTGCCAGAGTCTTTTGATTGGGGGCACAAAATAAATCCAGAAAGGGCTATATTTTTAAGAGCCAAGAACCATGGGGATTATACCCACCTGGATAAATGTGTCAAGTTCTAAAGGCATTTTCCACACTGTCACAATGAGGTTTAGCTATGTCATTCCTAGGTACAGAAAACAGGAGTCTGAAGGGGATGTATGCACAAGCTACCTACCTTAATCAGAGAAGTGGGATAGTGACAAATGACATGGGGGAACCCACCTCTTTTTTCCTGTATGGAATTGGGAGAATGGGCGAGGGCTGAGGCTACCCCTCAGTTCACCCAACTACTTAGTGAGGGTTGGAGGCCTGGGCTTATTGAATGCTGACAGGTAGGGAAAAACCTAAACCAACAGAGTCCCACACCTGACCTGGTCCATTCCACAGCTTTTGTAAGACTCCATGGACCCTTCCTTCACAGAAGAAACTAAGGACAATTTTAAGAAATTGTATTTGTAAGGGGATATACGCTTTAAGTTTGTTGAGCAAATAATTATAAACAGCTGCAGTAAGTTAATAAAAACACTGAAAAAGTTTATGAAACTCCACATAAAAGGAAAATTATATACATGTGACCGCCCCCCAATACTTTTGAATTTCAGACTTTTTGTGGTTCATTTTTTTAATGTAAGTATTTCTATATGCTTTAAGGAGACAATAATAAATAGTCAGGTTGCTTTTCAGATGCTTTATTTACTTTACATTTTTTCCATGCAAATGGGCAACACTGTACTGTTGACAGAAACTTACACTGCGTGGGGAAGGCAATCTCCAGTTAGAGGCTGGCAGCACAAGACCACCTGGTACATAGAAATAGTACAAGGCTCACCACAAACAGATCAGTAAAGGCATGTCAGGAGAATGCAAGGAAAAGGAATCCATCGGGAATCACAGTATGATCTCACGGAACAGGGCCGAAGTCAAGGCATAAGGCAGAATTCATCATGATGATCATGATGATTTGAGAGCTCCCCCATCAGAATACGCAGACAATTTCTCAACTGTAGCTCCCTAAGTTTTCTCCTGATTTCTCTCATCTCCTCCATGAACATTTCCATATCATCTCCATCCCCACCCAACCCATCATTAATCTGCCTATTGGGTATGGCCCACCGGAAGTTAGGGGCAAGTCGGCGAGCCTGTCCTCTTCGGTTGTGGTTGTTGGCAGCAGGCTGGTGGCCGTCACCTCCTCCCAAAGGGCGGTCTTCCTGTCCATTCTGCAGGTGCTGCTCCATTTCTTCGTTTTCCTGGTGGATATTTGCCATGGTGAGATTTTGTTTTCTGGTTGTTATTCTTTGAACACAAGTAAGACAGAGCAAGGAAAGAAACTGAATGCTTGGTGCACTGACCAGCAATATTCCGAGACTAACAACAAAAGTTTTCATTATTATTTTATTATTTTTGCCACCTTAGAGTCTCCAGGCAACCTCAAGGGAGCCTCCATTCTGAGCCCCTCCCCCAGCTCTCTTTTCCCTCCCTCCTCCAAAGCCCACCATTTTTTATTTCCCAGGATCCTTTCCCTAAGCTCTGCAGGCACCAAAATGGAGGACTGAGATGGAGAATAGGGTGGGGTGGGGGCCCTCATTAGGGTCCCAGACAGGGCTTCCCGCACGCTCCTCCTGCCGCCCCCCTAGACACACACACAGGCAGCCCCTGAACCGACCTGGGCCTATCCCTTGCCGCGTAGACCTCCTCTCAATTGTCGCTGCCAGACGCGCCGCTGCGACTCTCGGCTAGCAGACCTGCAGACAGGGTGGGATGGGAGCGACTCGGCGCGGAGACCCCGCCCCCGCCCATCCCCCTACCTGGTGGCCCACGATCTCCACCGACCCGAAGCCTTCTTAGCTCTCCAGGGCTAGATCTAGCATTCTCCTAGGCCAGCCGGCCTAGCTGGCCCTTCCCCGAGACCCCCGCCATCCCCGCCTGCAACCAGGGGCGCCCCTTCCCGGGCCCAGCCACGGTTCTCTTTGCGGTGCAGAAAGCCGCGGTGCCGCTGCACGGTCCTCCGGTACGCTCCGTTGCATCCGGAAGCTGTCGCCCTCAGGGCCGCTGCATGCGGGCCCCTTACCTGCTCCGCTCGCCCAGGGCCCGATGCCAGCCCGCCGTGCGCAGGGAAGCACGGAGCTGGTGTCCAGACGCGAGTGACGACTGCACCCAAGGCTGCGTCTTTCTGCAGCCCCGGGTCACGTGAGGGCCCCGCGTCACAGCCAAGCTCGCTCCCCAGCTCTGGCCAGTTCGACAGGAGGCCCCGCCCCCACCTCCCCGCAGCGAGCAAGCACCTCAGGCCCCACCCGTCACTCATCCAGATCCTCGCCAATCTGAGGACCCACAAGTGGCATCACCGTCGGGAGGTTGGACTTCTCCCTTCCCTGTTTCCAGGGAGAGTCTGCACCTTCCTCCATCTCTCTCTCCCACCATAGCCAGGTCTTGGCTTTAGCCTTCTTTGAGATTCCTTTCCACCATAGTCAACCGTTTTCCCCAGGACCTCTTCCCACAGACAACCTGAAGTGGGGAGTGGGCTATATTGTACATACTTCTCTTTATTTCCGTAAATAAAATCAGCATGCTTCAGAAAATTCAAAATTCCAAGGGTCACTTCTTTTTTGGAATGCTGGGGATAAATCCTCTAGCCTCATAATTGCTGGACAAGCTAGCTCTCTTCTGAGCTGTATTCCCAGACCGCTCCACCCCCTGCCACCACACACACTTTGTAAACTTTTTAAAAAAAAAAAAAACGAGGACAACAGTGCCTGTGTATGTTGTTGGAGAGACACTTGAATTTTCAAACCTCCTGCGTCAGCCTCCCTTGTAGCTAAGGTTACAGGCCTGCACTACCAAGGCTGGTGACTTTCCAGCTTTGAAAGAAATGCTTCATTCTGCAGAATGAAAAAAAAAAAAGCTTGTTTATGTCAACCTGTGTGTATCACACAGAAAATATATTCTCTGGGTTTTGAATGGCTCTTTTGAAACAGACTGCATTAGTCTGTTTTGATATTTTATTTTAAGAGTGAGGGACTCTTGCTGAATGCAGCTAATGTTTTAAAACTGACCTGGGATAGTTCCTTCAGTGAGAAGTTATTGTTTTATAGGATTGTGTGTGTGTGTGTGTGTGTGTGTGAAAGGGTCTCACTATGTAGTCCTGGCTGGCCTGGAATCACTATATCAATCAGGATGGCCCCAAACTTGGGGTGTTCTTTCCTGCCTCTGCCTCCTCCCTCTACCTTCCAAGTGCTGGTGTTATAGGAGATGTCTTTGAGTCCATAGTCCTCATGAAAAAGAGCCATTTTAATTTCTTGCTTTCCTCTCCAAACCTTTCAAACTACTCTATAAATATTTAATGGACTGAAGAATAGAAAATATCTAGAAGTTATTCCCCAAACCTCCTACTCTGATTTGAATGTTTCAAAAATATCATAAATAAGCAAAGGATGGATGGTGAAGCAATTAAACTCACACTGAAACTCATCCTGAGTCCAACTGTTTCTTCCACATTGAAATCACTGTTTTTAGTTTTTTGGTTATTTGCTTTTTTTTGAGACAAAGTCTCACACTGCAGCCAAAACAGGCCCAGGGATGAAAAAAAAAAAGATCACAGCTAGACAATAGATTTTTAGAAACATAGCATTGTTACTTACAACTTAATAACTGTTTCTTATGAGAGCAAGAAGTTGCCTCTAGTTTGGGCCTCAAATGTCTGTACTTTCTCCTTCCGTGATAAATCATGTGGGATACTGGAGAA